CTTACCTTCGAAGTCTCTGGCTTCCAGGTCCACCTGAACACCAGATTTAAACACAGCCTAGGAGGAGGAAAAAGATGTTGTCAAAGGGTCTCCCCAGGCCTCTTAGCCCTGGATCAGGATCTGGGCAACCAATCCACCCCAGACCCCTGCCTGCCAGCTAACCATACCGAAAGGACTCCTGGGAGCCCGTAGGTAGCAGCCACGTGCAAGACAGAACGTCCCTGATGATCCGTGGCGTTAGGCTCTGCTCCCAAGTTCAACAGATCCTCCACAATCAGCGGCTGGTTGGCGGCAGCAGCCACCAAAAGAGGGGTCTGCAGGTCATGGGAAAAATCAGTCTGGGCCCCAAGCAATCTCCCCTCTGAGAACCAGGAATCCAGGTTCCCAGCCCTCTCCACCCTCAGACCCAGGATCCGGGAATTCCAACCCCCAGCTCTTTCCTCCCCTGTACCCAGAAATCCAGGCCTCTAGCCCTCACCTTGCCCTTATGTTCACGGATGTCCAGATGTCCGTACATCTGGAGCACCTCTGCTGCAGCATACGCTGCCCAGCGTAGTCCCCATGCTGCAAACAGGTGCAGGAGCCTGCGGACAGGTAGGGGGAAGCAGTGAGAACAGTCCCCCTGCTGACTCAGGAGTGTGCAGATGACCCCCATTTCCCTTATACTCACGTGTCTCCCTCCTCATCCTGGGCCAGCAGCTGTTGTGGCCCCAAAGCCAGCATATGAGCTCGGGCTGTCTCCAAGGATGGTCCAGTGGATGGGAGCAATGGTGGGGGTACTGAGGGGGGCCCAGAAACTCTCCAGGATTCTGCCTGTGACAGGGAAGGTTCTGCATAGAGCCGAGTGTCCAGGGGGTCCTGAAGGGGTAGGGACAGTCAGTCAGTTGAGAATTCCCCCTTCCCAGCCCACCACACATACATATACACAGCCTCTGGTCAAGTGGCTAGAGCTGGGAACCCCGTCTATGCCAAGTGACCTTGAACCTTTGGGCCTGTTTTGCCTGTCTGGGGAATGGGATTTTAATCCCATTCCATAGTTCAGAATACTGCACAAGGGCAACTGGGAAGTTTTAGAAGCCCTTCAGCATCCTTCCTCATTCTGTATCTCACCTCCATCCCTAGGGAAAATGCACACGATCGCCCTGAGTCCGAGGGCTGGTAGAACTCAGGATTCAGGAACCCTTCAGCAGCAGAAGCAGGGTAAGAGCAGGGGCTGTCTGTATAGGCAGCATGTGTGTTGGGGTCCCAGTCTGGAAAGCTTGTTGGGGGTGCCAGGGTGCCAATTCCAGAACCCACAGTCTCCTGGATTGTTGGGAAGTGAGTATGGCCTGTATGTGAGAGGAGGGCAGGTGGGGGCCTGGTTACCAGAGCTTGGGGGAGTCACAGTCAGGGAAGGAGGAGCCTGAGTCACAAGGTGCCCAGACAAAGGATTTCTGGGACATTAAGGGGCTGGGGCCTAGGATCCTGGAACACCCAGGGGCAAACTGGAACCTGGACTTGTGGGGCCCTCACAAGGTGGAAGCCTGGGGCCCAAGTGCATAGATGATTGGGAGCCAATGAAACTAGGTCAAATTTCTAGTAAGTCCCAGAAAAAAATGTGAACCTGAACCCTCTGTTCCCTAAAATTCTAAGAGTTGGGGTGTCTGAGGGCCTGAGGGAGGCTAGGGCTGGGAGCTCAGGGAACCTGATGAGTTTCCAGACTTACCAGCTTCGGCCTCATTCACAGATGGGGTCAGGGGCTGGGTCAGGGGAGGGGAGAAGTGAATCTGTAGAGACATAAGCAAAAAGGAACAAGGGAGAATTAATTTGCTACATTTCTCGGCATTTGTTTCCAACCTCTAGGGCATCGGAGTCAGAACTACAACTCTTATCAGTTCTGAGGGCCCAACAAGCACATGGCCTCTTGAGATTTGCCCCCCCCCTTTGTTTCTTTCATTGTACTAGGAATTTAACCCAGGGCGCTTTACCACTGAGCTACATTCCCAACCCTTTCTTATTTATTTATTTATTTATTTTAATTTTTGAGACAGGGTCGCGCTAATTTGCTGAGGCTAGTCCTCCTGCCTCAGCCTCCGGAGTGGCTGATTACAGGCGAGCGGCACCACGCCCAGCGAGAGCTGTCTTTTAAAGTGCTTCTCAGGCCTCACCGGTACTGCACCAGCGTCAGGCTGCTGCTGGCGACGCCTCTGTTCTTCCAGGAGTTTCTTCACCGTCTGTGTTGGGCAGTGGCTGCGCTCATTTCGGCTCACTGGTTGGGGAGGAGAGAAGGAAGTCATCAGGGGTCCTTAAGTCATCTAAATGCACTCAGAGCGGGGGAGGAGTGGATGTGGGCGCCCATCTCGCCCTCCCGCGCGCGGAAAAACTGGCACACAGATGCCGCCTGAGAACTCCAAAGCCAATAGAAGATTTTAAGTGCGGTGCCCGCCTCCGCCGTTTCCTTCTCTTTGCTCCGCACTTTCCCGCTGACCCAACTTTCCACCAGCGTCGTGGAAACTGAGGAAGGGGAGGGGGGAGAGCACCCCTCTACTTCTGTGAAAAATCCCACCCCCAGATCTCCAGTTCTGAGGCCTGGGGTAGGGGAAACGTCGCCAGCCACCATTCCCCAGAGACGCACAACCGGGTTCCCAATGAAGCTGACGTTCTTTTACAGTTCCCCGGGAAATCAAGCGTCCGAGCCCCCAAGTCCCCTCCCCCAAGGAATCACGAGCCAGTAGAACCCCCCCCCCCCCGCCCGCGCCCAGCTCCTCAGAATCCAGAGGTTCAGAGCCGCCAGCTCCACCTCTTCAGAACCTGGAGTCCAGGGTCCACCCCGCAAACGCAGGAGTCCGGGAGTCCAGCGTCCTACTCTCCAGGACGCGGGGGTCCAAGCCCTCAGCCCCCTCCTCTCCAGGACCGGGGAGTCCAGGTTTTCAGACTCCTCCTTTCTGTCACCCGGGAAGACCAGCCCTTTCACCACAACCTGCCGAGCTTGGGTTCCGGCGACAGAAGGGTTAAGCCGGCGTGGAGCAGATTCGGAAACCGCCCAGACACTGCGCGCTAACGTCACGGCGCTCGCGCAAGGGAATCTTCCATCTCCGCCTTCCGCTCCAGCCCCGCGCCGCAGGTGTCCCGCTCGCAGGCGGGGCGCGCAGCCAAGCGTGGCACTCCTGGAATCCCCGCACGCGGGGAATTCCTGCCCAGCTGGGGGACCCGGGCCGGTGGCGCTCTGGGAAACCCCAAGGAGGGGCAGGGTCGCTGCCAGCGTGGACCCTGCGCCAGGCGCCGGACCTTGGCCACTAAGATCAGCGGCAGATTTTAAACAACCACGCCCCCAAGAGCTCCCTGCAGCCGGTCCTTCTGGGGAAAGGAGTCCGGGCCACCATCCCTCTCCTTCCACAGGACATAGTAGTCTGGCCTCCCAGCTCTCGTACCGCCGAGAACCAGGATTCTGGATCTCCAGTCCCCAACGCCCCCAAAACCCAGGAGTGCAGAATCCTGGCACTCCTCCATCCCGAGCAGGGGGTCGGACCCCCTGCTACCCTCAAACACTGGGTACTCGATCTCAGAGCCCAGATCTTGGTGCTTCAGCTCTGTCCCTCAAGGACCCCAAAGTCAAGACCTCAGGCTGTCACTCTCTTAAGAGCCGAGGTGCCTCACCATCCCCCCATCTAGTACCTCGGGGATTCCGTGGCGCGGATTGTGGGCCCCCAGGGCCGCGGCCTCGGCGCTGCGCCAGCCTCGCTGTTTCCCTCGGAGCCGCCGTCGGGTCCCCGATCTTGAATAGGGTCCCCGCGAGTTTTTAAATTAGGGTTCTGGCACCGCCCAGTGCAGGGCAGGGCCCCGCCCTCAGCCCTGGGAGTCCCCACGTCACACCCCAGCAAACTTAGTTTCTAAATGGGCGGGGCTGAGTCCCAAGTCTCCCCAGAAAAAGGGAGTTGGGGGTCAGGTCTTTGGCCTGAAGGAGCCTGATACCGAACTCAAGGAGAAGGGTGACACTGGGGACCTAGACTCCCGAGCCTGTCCAAAGGGAATCAGGAATCTAGAGAGGTCCAGAGCCTCCAGCTAGAGACCTTGACTAGAGACCTTGACTTTGGGGCTCTGGGCTCGGGTGGACAGAGTAGTATTACTGAGTCCTGCGGGGAGAGGGGCCGGGGGATTGGACTTCCTGGTCTGTAGGGAGGAAAGATAAGGCTCAAATCTCTCGCTCTTTCCCACATGGCCTCCGAAGTCTAGTTTCATTTATTCTTTCATTATTTTAATAATTTGTTGTCCCGGGGAGGCGCCTTGCTGGGTGCTGTGGTACAAGTGAGAAGTAAACAGGCAGGAATTCCCAGCCCTCAAGTCATTCCAGAGGGAGGAGATTCTCACTTCCCATTTGGTGGCCATTCTCAACACTGACAACAGTGACCAAATTTCTCCTCTGCTTTCAAGACTCTGCTCTCGTGGGTCTCCCCCGTCTCTTGCTCCTCCTCCTCCCATTTCCCTGGCTGGTTTGTCCCCTTCTCCCATTCTCTGTGTGTGTGTGGAAGGGGCCCCTGTGTGGGGTTATCATCTGTCTGTACTCACTTCTTTGGTGATGTCATCCAGCCTCGTGGCTTTAAATACCAATTTTAGGCCATCAACCCCTGAACTGACATCCCCAGACCAGACTTGTCCCCTGAATTCATAAATGCAGCTTTGAGCATTCTACATTTCCACAGGGAGCTGTGTCAGACATTTTCCAACTCCGTATGCCTGAAACTCAGCACTTGCCTCCCAAACCAGCTTCTGCCACTTCCCTCTCCATCCACACTCCATCTTTTCAATGGCCAGAAACTTTGGTCATCCTGGATCCCTCTTGCCTACACACTTACATCCACTCCACCAGCAAATGTTGGCTGTACCTCTAAAATATTTCCAGAATCTCCCTAGATGATCATAGCAGCTTTCCTGGACTCTCTGACCCTCCCCCAATTTGTTCCCCAAAGAGTCATAGAGACACCCACGCATACACACATACACACACATACACAGGAAGTAAGTGGCCTTGCCACCATCAGGGTGACATCCGCTATAGCTACCTCTCTACTCCCCCACTCTTCCTCAGGACTTCTCTGGACCACAGTCCTTGGCCAGATCCCTTCAGCCCCCAGTCCACCATGACCCCTCCAGGCCACATACTGCTCCTACTTTTGCTCCCAGGTGAAGCCAGGGGCTATGGGGGGTGGTGGCAGGCAAAGGACTTGTGGGAAGGGTGACATCTGAAGTCAGGGTGGTGAGGGCAGGCCCTTCTGCCTGCGCCCTTTCTCTTCTTGGAGATCATTCTGCATCAGGGCTGGGCCTTGGCAGGGAGGGAGGGAGGAGGGGAGCTCCGGAGTGGCCGGTGGCCTGTTAACCTCCCCTTGTCATCGGTAGTCACTGCTTCTACTTCCCCTTTTCTGTCTCTCTGTGTCCCTGGGAGCTTCCCTCTCCACTTGGCCCTCTTTCCCATTCTGTCCCTCCAGAGTGGAGGTTCCTTCTCAGGACATCATCTTCCCTTCAACCCTGCTCTGGGGCCACCTCACCCACCTCCCCTGTCCTTCCACAGCTGCTGCTGCCCAGATGTCCACAGGTGAGCCATCGCGCCCTACCTTTGACCCTGGAACTTCAGGTACTGCTTCCATCTCTAAAGCCTGGCCTGAGGGTCCTAGAATGCCCCACCTCCATGGCTCTGCCGTCACCAGCTCACATCCTCTGGAGAGGGATCTGCAACCCTCTCCGGGTCCCATCCTGCCCCCTTCACCACCACTCCCTGAGCCCCAGGGAAAAAAGAGGACCCCAGCCTCCCTTTGTCTGTGGCCTATGTGCCCACTGCACAGTCCCCCTGGAATCCTGGGACACTGCTGCTGCTAGGGATCTCCATCTTTCCTTCTCCATGCACCACCTGGGATCCACGCCCCTCAAAGGGGACTTCCTCTTCTCCTCTTGTGGCCAAAGCACAGCCCCAGGGAACCAGGACCCCCCTGAGCCACTTTCTTGTCTGGGCTCCACCTTCCAGGTTCCTGTTCCGGATGTGGGCCCCTCTCCCCGCATCTCCTGGCCAGCCTAGTGGCTGCAGATGCTGTCATGTCACTGATAATTGTGGGGGTGGTGTTGGTGTGTGCCCGCCCACGCCCAGGTCGCAGGCTCAACTATGGTAAGGGCGGGGCTTGGAGGGGCGGTGGCCTCCCTAGAGAGGGGTCCCAAGGAGGGGGGCCCCCGGGGAAGCCCTGGAGGAGGTGCTGGGGAAACCCTGGGGGAGGGGTCTGGGGGAATCCCTGAGGAAACCCCTAAGGCAGGGGGTCCCCAGGAAGGTGGAGATGTGGGGTGGGTGGTGGGTGGTCAGGCTTCATGCTTTCTCTCCCCCACCCCCAGAAAATGACAAAATCTACATCAACATGCCTGGTAGAGGCTGACCTCCTGTAACTTCAACCTTTGACTTCTGACCCTCTCATCCTGAATCGTGTGTGATGGCACAGGAACATGTACAACACCCCCACCCTTTTGGATTGAATAAAGCGGTTCAAATATCTCTGGTTTGATTCTTCTCCAAAGAACCTTAGGATTCCCCAAAACTCCCCTCACTTAGCTGTTTCTGTGTTCAAGACCCTTCTCAGGACCCCGCAAATCCCCAATCCTTTAACCCAAGAGTCTGGCATAACTCAACAATATTTTTGCACTCTATTGTTTATTTGGGAACGTTAGTGGGGAGAGGTCTAAAATCCCCGGGAAGACTCTCCGTGGAATTGTTTTCTAGTAGGAGTAGGAATGATGAGCTGGGTGGGCAACAGAGGTGACTGGATCCAAATATGGGGCTGTTGACTAGGCTCATTTGTAATACTGCCTCTGTGTGTTGAGGTCACTGTAGACATCTGACCTCTGACCCTGGAGCTCCTAAAAGGAATGAAGGACATTAGTGGAAGGGGTTCACCAAATAAATTTCAAACAAAATCCAGACTTCTCCTAATGGTCTTCAAGTCCCCCGCCCCCCCCCCACCACCCCCGCAACTTCTTCAAACATGGCGGTGGAAGAGATCTGGATTTTATTCACCTGAATTCAGCATTCACCTTTCCTTGACTCACCATTATGCCCAGCCAGCCACAAGGCCTTTGCATGTGCTATGATGCCCTCTGCCTGGAACACCAGTCCTGTAGACCTTCAGTCTCTTTCTCCCTCTTCAAGTCTCAGCTCTCAATTTCCCCATCTATAGTTTCTTTCTCCCAAACCCCACTCATTATCACACAGCCTGCTCTATTTTCTTCATGGTGCCTCTCCAAAATGATTTTGTTAATTTGCTTCAAGTCCGTCTCCCCAGCTAGGATGTAAATTCTGCTATATATGTAGGTGCTCAACAAATCCACTGAAGGAATAAATAGACCAGGGTAACGCTTTGCCTAAAATTTCACTGCTATCAATAACAGGAAAGCTTTCTCAGTTTTCAAGACCTCACAGAACCAATTTGAGATTTTTACACTTTGCAAAGAAACATTCAATCCACAAGTGAAGCAAGCCAGCAAAGCTGATTACGGATAATAAATTGGTTCACAAATAAGAGGTGTCTGTGGTCCCAGGGGGCAGGCCTTAGGTAGAATCCCTGAACTCATATACCAAAGACCCGTTTCTGGTGTGCATTTCTCTAAGGACGGGGAGGTCTCAGGATCTCATGACCCCCCCTAAAGGATTAAGAAGGAGCCTTAGCAGAGGGAGAACTAGAGAGATACCTCTGTCTACATCACTTGAAGTGCCTCTGGATTATACGCATGACTTTGTATTTTTGTGTGTGGATTTTTCTGAAGAGTCTCTAGCTTTGATTACTTCTCAAAAGAATTTAGGGTTCTCATTCCTCAAATTCTAAGATTCCTCTCTTTTGAGTCACTAAACTAGGGCTGAATTCCATTCTTTGTCCTACTGAGGGCTTCTTCTAGCCCTCTCCTAGGGCTAAGCTTTTTCCAGAACAATTTGGGGCCTCATAAGGCTTGTTTCTGATCTTACAAAGGCAAGACACCCTTTATTTCTGCTCCACACATTTTAAGCTAAGCTTAAGGTTGCAGTTTATCACTGAGTGTGCTTTTGGACAGATGTCCCATTTGCCTTCTAGGTATGGGGTAGCACCTGGGAAAGGGGCATTAGGGTCCTCAGGAGGACATGGGGGTGTCCATAATCCAGATGCCCACAGGAATGGGCAGGAGAAAGATGTGGGAATGAATCTGGTTTTCTTACCTGATAAGGTGACTCCATCTCAGTGATGTGCTGTTTCTGGGTCCCTGCAGAGGGACAAAGGGGTGACACAGGGTGCAAAGATGGACAGAATAGTAAACTGGGACCATTTTTTTGTTTGCTTTTGTTTTTGATAATGGGAATTAAATCCAGGGTTGCTTTCCCATGGAACTACATCCCCAGCCCTTTTTTATTTTTTATAAGTGGCCTGGGCTGGCCTTGAATTTGCCATCCTCCTGCCTCAGCCCCCAAGTCACTGAGCTTACAGGTGTGCACCACCACACCCAGCCATATTGCTGTCTTAAAATCAGTCCTTCTACCTCCATCCCTTTGGATGTTTGTGACCTGGGAGCTTACACCCCACCACCAGTCTCACCCTTACAGTGTCCCAGACCATCTCTTGCCAGCCCCACTCACCTGCTGCAGTTCCTCGTCCCCGAGGGACAAGCCGTCCTAGTGAGTACACGGCCAGGGCGATGAGCAGGGTCAGCACCAGGTCCCCCAGCACGATCCCCGCCAGCACGCCAGGGCTCACTGGGGAGCAGTTGCATTCTGGGAATATGGCACATGGGTCAGGGGAGGTCCATGTGCTTTGGGAATTAGGGGGTGGGTGTCAGCAGGGGGAAGTTTGAATGGATTGGAGAAGGGTCTTTGGGAGGGAGGGAGAGGGACCGCAGGGTCTAGGCCTACCATTCTGGGCCTGGACAGGACTGAGACCTGAGAAGGGAAAAAGAGGTAAACTGAGGCACCGGGTTATGGCTGGTAGTGGGCCTTAGAAGCCAGAAAAAGCAGAAAGTAGTATCTGGTGGGACCTGGGAGGGGACTAGCGCCAAGGCTTAGATGCCATGTGACTTCTCTGCCCGCTTGTCCTGTTGCAACACCCTTAGATGATCCCCTCCCCCACCAGCCGAATCTTGGGGGCTCAGATTTGGAGACCCAGAGGCTCCACGCGGACCTGCTTCCACCCAACCTCCCCTCTGGTTCTCACCAGAACCACACTGCCCTGCCGCTAGCTGAACCCGGGGCCTCAGGACACAGCTGCAGAAGCCCCCAACTCACCAGCCACAGTCAGGAGAAGAAGGATCAGGAGCCGCCACGAGGGATCCAGGTCCCCCATGACTCCTGGACACTGCCGGACACCACAGTCCAGGGGCCAGTGGGATGCGGCGTGGCTTCCAACCAAGTGAAGGAGGAAGTCTGCGGTGGGTGGTGCAGCGGGAGGAGGGGACAATAGGGGAGGAGGAAGGACAGACAGAGATAGCACCAGAAAGAATCAGGCCCAGGGCCTGCGCAGCACACAGTACCTAACAGCTGGACGTGAAGGGCGAAGGGTACGTGTGTCAGCTCTTGACCCCCATCACCAGTCAGGGGTCAGCAGCCTTGTATCAGGAGGGTCACTCCTGAGTACAAGTGAAGCCAGTCCTGCCTCTTCCTGGCCAGGCAGCCTTGAGCATCATCAGCCTCTAGGCCTCACTTGTAAGACTAGGAGTAAAACAGTACCTAATTGTGGGGTTGTTGTAGGGGACTCAATGAATTAACATTCTTAGAACAGGGTCTGGCACCCGTCAGCTATAATTATTTGATAATCAGACCCCTTTGGAGGGGGATATACTGGGGACCAATTCCAGGATCCTGTGCATTCTAGGCGGCTCTCCACCTCGGGGCTACCTCCCCAGCCCTGGTAATCAGACTCTTGTGATGTGCACAGAATATAGAGAGCCTCAGCATCTAGGCACCCTGACATATGGTACTCTGTCCCAAGTGTTAAATCATTTAATCCCCACAAACTTCCTCTGAGGTCGATGCTCTTATTCCCATTTTACAGAGAGATAAAGACGCTTGCCTAAGTTCACACGGTAAATAAAAGTGAAAACTGAACGCACGACAGTGATGTTAAGTCTTAGGGGAAAGAAAAAGAGACGAAAGATGGAGAAGGAAAAAATGATGGCAAAGAAGAGAGAGAAAGTAAGAATTAGTGTCACAGAAACCACACCACAGAGACAGGATTGGGTTTAGGTGAGATGGGGGAGTGCAACGCGGTGACCACTGAGCAGGGCTGGGCTGCCTGCAGGAGGAGGAAGTGGCTGGGAACAGGGACTGAGGGAGGGTACCCAGGAGGAGTCAGGGACTTCTCTCTCCCAGTGGGAGCTGAGGCAGGGGCAGGAGAAGGAGGAACCTGAGGTCAGGGTGCTGGGGGTGAGCCAGCTGCAGGAAGCCCCCTCCCCCGTCCTCACGTCACACCCCAGCACTCCCAGGCCTGGGTGCAGGAGAGAAAAGGGGAAGCTGGGTGCTGGTCATGAGGCAGATGCTGAGTGCCAAGAGGGGAGGGTTGGGGAGTTGGGGGCTGCTGGAGGGTCAGGGCAAGGCTGGCACCATGCTGGCTGCTCACAGCTGCCCCTAGGTCTGGCCAAGTCTGATCCCTAAAGAACCCAGAACCTTCCCATTAGGTCTAGAGCAAGCCTGGAGGAAGAGACCCTGTGCCCTCCCTCCCCACCCCAGACACAGCAGACTACGGAGCAAAGGGAGCCAGCAGGGTAACCAGGGCCCTCACCTGTCAGGTGTTCCCAGGCTCCCTCTGGCTGTGGGTGGGAGCAGGAAGTGGGGCAGGCAGCCTGCTGTGGTGCTTGGGTTTTGTAACATCTCTTAGAATATCTGGCACAACTGCAAGGGCTCAAGAAATGTTAATTACCATCCTCATTATTGATATTGGTGTTAGTACGTCCCGTATTGAGTTCTGGGCTTGATAAAAATCCTCCCTCAGCCCTTCAGCATCAGCCTCCTGACCCACCCTCCAACTCCAGCCAGGCCTGGGCTGTCCCCAGAAGACATCCAGTCTGACAGGTCGGGACACCCAGGCACCATCCAGTCAGAACAAACGTGGCCTGTGGGCTGGGCTGAAGTCCTGGAGTCCCTTTTTAGTGTGAAGTTCAAGGGGGTTCCAAGGGGATTGGAGTGATGCAGACATTTTTTTTAATATTTATTTTTTAAGTGTAGATGGACACGACCCAATGCCTTTATTTTTATGTGGTGCTGAGGATCGAACCTGAGTCCTGCCCGTGCTAAGCTAGCGCTCTACCACTGAGCCACAATCCCAGCCCCTGATGCAGACATTTATAAGACATGAGTTAACAGTATCTTTATCAGAGAGAAGGGAAATACCTCCATGTTTTTGCAGTGGATGCAGGTGTGCTGGCGTAGAGCACAGAACGCAGTGTCCTAGGCTGGTCTCTGGGCCTGATGGGCAGATAAGATTCCCCCTTTGGGTGAAGGAAGATAAAATGGACGGTATCCCCACTGTCTGGCCTCTGCCTCCA